TTGGAATAGATGTGAATGAGGAAGGGAGTGTTAAGACGATACAATGGATGACAAAGGTGACAGAGAAGATACGAAGAAAGAAATAGGAGGTTGAGAATAAACCAGACGACATGATTTGTTTCTGATTTTTTCTTTCACAATTACTGAAATCATTGGAACATTTCTATGTGAAATTTTATTATAAACTTCTTTACTGAAGCATATATTATACGAAGTTTGAGTTAATCCAATCTTGTCATTATTATAAAACAATATTCCTTAGTTGCTTTTAGGACTCGGTAATTCTAGCATTGCAGATTTACGTAGAAATAGAAATAGAGGCGGGGGGTATAATTTAAATTAAAATATAAGATTATGCAATATCTTAAAGTTATGTGTTAGGTATGGGCGAATGAATGTAGAAAGATGAAGTGAGAATAATTGTGTAATACAATTGTTGTAAAACCGAGTTCCTTTTCATAACTGCAAAGATGAAAATAAGATCTTTTCCACGCTATAGGTAACATTTGTTAATTTGTCATGCAGACCTTTCACTTCTATTAATAAGAAATTTCGGCGAAGAAGTAAAACGTCCGAATTGTTCATGACAGCGAAAATAATGGGTGTAGTCAGGATGAGTGATTCATGAACCACAGTATCTTTCCATTGCGACGTAGAAATTTTCGCAACCAGTTTTTAGTGTCTTTGAAAATATCACCTATAAAGACACCAGTACTAAATTGGAAATTTGCGTAAAGAATTACACTTTTCATAATTCACCAAAATAGTGAAATAATACATTTCACTTATGTATAATCGTAGATCAGTTGATACGGTATATTTACATTTCCAATACTTGATTCTGAAGAAAATCGGAATGGATATCGTCTTACGTAGCTATAGAATTTGTTATTCAATACCGAAGGTCCGACAAAAATACATTTCTAAATCCAGATGATCCGAGAAAATTGCATCATAATGTAACACAAAAGTGTGTAACTTGCAAAATCGACTGTCCGTTATTTTCATTAACACATTGACTGCCAACGACCATAAAAATGTTATAAGAAAAAGTATTTTATTTAATCAAATTAAAATGTTGTGGGGTATACATTTTGGAAGATATAATCAATTAGCGTACAAATTATTTTCCAATTCTATGCAGACAATTCCGACACCCACATTTGAATTAGGACTGTAAAATCAGGCATATTCTTCAATATTTATTTACAATAAATATCTTCTTCTTTCTTAAAAGAATGTAATTTCCCAATTTAGAGACGCGTATTACAGTACACTTAATAATCGCTTCGATAATAACAAGATCAATTTGTCTTAAACATGTCACTGTGGCACATGTCCTTCTTCATTGCAATTACTAGGCAATGAATCCCTATGCAGAATAAAAATTATCTGCATTGACTGCAATTTTATTCAGCTGAGCACAATGCAGTGGAATTTTTAAGTTCTCTAAATGCTTTCCATGTTTTAAATCAAATTACAGTTCTATTACTTCAAAAGAAATCACAATTTCAAGAATGTTTATCTTCTTTTACAGGTTCTGTACTAAAAATTAATTTTTTCGTAGATTATGCTCATCTTTTTTTAAATAAAATGATCTCATTCACAGAAAAAAGTTAGCACTATTTTTTAATTTAATATGAATTTTATTACAAACAATGAACAATAAGAACATTTTTATTTGCAAAAGGACGAATTTCATTCGTGAAAAAGTAAATAAAACCTACAAAGGAATTCGTTTGGAGAACGAAAAAGTAAATGCGATTTACAAAAGAATTAATTTGAAAATGAAAACTTCCACTGTTTCCCTCGGATCTATACAACATGAAATGATCTTTTGCATTGTTTCAATATTATGTTCAACCCTGTGCATTTAAAGTACTTTTTATATTATTAAA